CTGATAAGAATAATTCCTGGACAAAAGCCTCTGTGGGGTACCTATACGCCTGGCTTCCTCCTTAAGCTTAGCGTACGGCCCCTTATCATTTTGTGATGAATCACTTTGATTTGGGGGGCATTGGTTTCTATATGTGCTATTCAGATTTCTGTTTTGTTTGCCTCTATTCATGACTATCCAGTCACCCCATGATTTCTCTTGTCGCTTAGGAGGAGGAGGGTTCCGGGGTGGCCTAGCAGCCACATCAGTATATGAAGGTTGAGTGGCTTGTCTGAGTGCAGAAGGCTTGCGGGGTTTTCCAGAAATATCTATACCGTACTCCTTGCTGTAATTAGTCAATTTTCTGGCCAAATCAGACCATATCATTCCCTGTATGTTTCCACTTTGGAGTTTTTCTTTAATTTGGATGACTACCTCTTGAAGTAGTACAGGGAGTCCCCTGATTAGAGCATTCAATCTTTGGGGTCTCACTCGGAGTTTCATAGGACTCCTGTCACCTGGTACTAATCTATGTTCATAAATCATTTGAATTACAGCAGCCTTTCGGATGTTTGCCATAAGATCAGAGTTTTCCCCATCCAGTGTCAGTGGCTCTCCTCTGGCAAGGGGATTACTTGAGCCAACATAATAAGCTGCACGCTGAGTTAGACTCCAGGGGTGTGAATCATCATCAGTTGTTAGAATAATTCCGGGTCCCCAGTAATAGTCAGCTTCTTCCTCAGTTAACATAATACGGTCTCCTCCAGTGAGGGACACTCTTATCACATATTCAACTTCCGTCTCAGATGGGAGCCTGCTGTATTGTTTTCTAATACTTGCCAATTCCATTGGAGTGTAAGGTATTTCTTTAATTATTATCTCCTTTCTCCTTGCACCGTCTCTAATTCTATTACCAGGTTAGGTAGCTGATACTCCTTAGCCTACAAAATTGCAGGTAGGAACTCATATGCAAGACCCTTTGTCGTGTTTACTGCGCTAATATAGAAAACAGCATGGAAATTGCAGACAGAATTTTTATTTTTATTTTTCTCTCTGATTATCAGCATTTTGCCTTGGGCCCCCAGAACGTTGCTATAGAATAAGTGCTAGTCCACAAAGGGGACCTAAAAGGGGGTCCTGGATGACCAGCAGCCATTGAGGTCTGGCGTTCACGGTGATTGGTTGGGAAAACTGAGTGTGGAAGAATGAATTGCAGGAGTGTTATGTTGTCACGGGCCGGTACCGGGGGGCTACCAGCTGTCAGGATGTTTCCGCGACTTGTCCCCCCAGTGTGGAGAGGTTTGTAAATGAGCCCGAGGGTCACACGTGGCGTTCGCCTCTCTCAGAGGAACGGCCGCTGCGTTTACTAGAGGGTAGATTAGAGTGCCCTCTCACCTCGCTCACAAATTGTTACTGAGACCAATGTTTAGTTTGCGAATTAATCGGTTTATTAAGGGTTAACACAAACTAAGGCATCAAGGTTCAGGAGAGGTTGGCTGGGTGTGTATCAGAAAAGGGATTCAAAGGCACTATGGTCTATAAAAGGCACAATCCGAAGGAGAGGTGTAAATCAATGGAGAAAAAGGGTAGGAGTTGAGCCCAGTAGAAAAGTTAGAGTGTGTGTGTGTATGTGCTTGTGTGTGTGTGTGTACATTTACCCTCTTTCTGTAGCACAGTTCCCAGGATGCGCTGGCAGGCTCGGCTGGACATCCGCAGGGGTCCAACTTCCCAGTAACCAGGGTGACCCCTCCCTGCAGCAGGCACAGCTCTGGTCCCATTGCAAGTGGCAGACGCAGGCTGGGCAGGCTCCTACTCTGGTCCGGTTCTGTCCAGGCTGGGCAGGCAGGGTCCCTGGGACCGGGCACGATCCCCGCGGAGCGGGCACAGGCGGTGCCCCCCCCTCTCCGTTTCTCCGAGCAGTAGCAGTGGCGTCCAGGCAGGTTCAGGTCCTGCAGTGGGGTCTGTCCCAAGCAGGCAGAGAGAGCGAGCAGAGGAGATCCTACTCTCTTTTTTTATGGATCAGAGACTATTGTTCCAGAAAGTACCACCGTCTGAATTAGCCAATCACCATTGGCCAGGTACATATTCTGTTAGGAGCAGTTTTTAATCTATTGTTTATTTTTCTGCCAGTTATCATAACCCTTGTGCTGCTTCTTTGCTATGCACTTATCTGGTAGGGCAGGAGGCCTGCTCATTCTGTTCTTGAGTGAATCAGTGAAAAGGAGTCACTCTTGCTTTTGCTGGCTTGAAAGGCATTTTTTGTTTAGTCTTATGTGTGGGGAAGAAGATGGACTGTTCCCCACACCAGGCATGAGAGCTGAGGCTGATCATGGCAACCTTAGTTAGATTTATAGCTCTTGACTGAGTTCTTCCTCTGCAATCAGCTCCTTAGAAACTGGTGGAGCTCCTCAAGGAGGTAAATATTATTTAGCATATGCAAGATGCTCAGTATCTCCCCTGGAATAGGAAAGCACAAGGTTGTCCCACAGCGAGCCGAGCTGAAACACCAAATTACTTAGGGTTGAGCAGCACAGCTCCCCTCAGTACCCTGTCAGCCTTGGGGAGGGGGGAAAATCCCCTGTGAGGATCCTCTGTGGCTCTCTGGGCTTCTCCTCTGGCAGTCCTGATCAGTGCTGAGCCCAACAAGCCTGTGCCATCAGGGACTGTGAGTGATCTGATCATGCCAGGATGTACCTGCGAGTTTTAGAGGGGAGCTGCTTCAGGGTTTGGTCCGGTGGGGAGCTGAGGTCACTGCCACAAGCCCCAGTCCCTGTGACAGAACACTCAGAACACATCCCAGCTACACCAGCTGTGCTGGGAGCCAGCACTGACCACGCTGAGGGGTCTGTCCAAGCCAGGGCTACCCTGGAGACGGGCTGTGCTCAGCAAGGCTCAAGCTGTGCTGCTCCATGTTGTGCTGCCTGTCACCTCCTCTGCTGGGCTGCTCTGCCTGTGCTGTGATGTTCTCCTCAGACCCTCATTCAACAAGCCTCTCACCCTTCTGTGCATGGGGCATCCCCAGAACAGCTATTTCACAGACCTGGCCCTGTCTCCAGCTCCCTCTTGCCCCCTGCCTGGCTCGTACCCTGTGTGTCCTGGGCTCAGAGGCCTCTCTCAGGGCTCTGCTCATCTCTCTGGGCAACTGGTCCCTCGCAAATGCCACCAGGGACTGCCCAGTTCACACATGCACTGGGGGGTGCAGGGAGGAGCATCCTCCACTGGGACCCACTGCTTTTTGCCACAGAGAAAAGGCTGGTCTCCTCCTGTCACATCATCCCCCACCTTTGATGGCAAGTGCTCACCCAAATCTTCACTGCTGCTGTGGTCATGGCGGTCATGCACTTCACCTTTGCTCTAGGTCTGTGGCCTCCCTGCCACAACCTCCTTCCTGCCAGCAGCTCTGCAGGTGCTGTTGGGTGTGAAAGGGGGTGGGCTGTGCAATGATGTTGTCCTTTCTTCTTTCCCCAAACAGCATGACCACAGTCACTGTCGTCCTGGCTGCAGCGATTGCCCTGATCATCGGGTTTGGTGTCTCAGGTACACGACTGCTCAGATTTCCTGCTGGTGCCAGCGGGGCACTCCAGTTCTGGGTCTCCATCCTGTGCGTGGGCTGAGGTGGGATGTTGTGTGGAAGTGCCACCTGCCTTTTGGTGAAGGTTCTCTTTGCAATGCCTACATGCCAGAGAGCTGAATTAAAGCTTCACAGGTGACTTCAGTTCTGGCCTTACTCAACAAGGTATCACTCCATGACACTCAGCCACAAGGAGCTGTGCTCTCCTTGGAGACTGTGAGCTCTTGTAGGCTTTAAACATGCAGGGATTTACAGACATACACACACATACATGTGTGCTCAGGGTGGGTCAGAAGACACCAGCTCTTGGCACCCAGAGCTGAGTCAGGAAATCTGTGTTGGCTCTTAATTTCTGTGAAAGCAGCAGTTGTGCACACAGGAGCCCTCATGCTGAGGGGCAGCTCAGGTTTGCTCTGGGAAGCCAATTCCTGGCCTGTGCTTTCACAGAAGAAATTAAGGTGCTTTTTTTGTTTGTTTGGGGTTTTTGTTTGTTTGTTTGTTTGTTTTTTTCCTGTTGGCTTGCTTTTGTTTGTTTGTTTTTGTTAAGTTTGGGGGGTTTTATTGTTAACTCCATCTGCTGCTCCATGGACAGTCAGCTGAGGCAAGGGATGGAGAAGCGTAGCACAGGCTGTGCTGCTGGTGGGGTAGTGCTGTGTTAGCTGAAGTTGCCTTGCAATTGCAGCCTTAAACCTACACACAGAGAAAGTCCTGCACGTTCTGTGCTCCTTCTCCCAGGCGGGAGGAGATAATGGTGTTTATTGTGAAGTCAGGCAGCTTCTGCCAGGATGAGACACATTCCCTTGCTCCCTCAGAAATGAAAACAATCTGCTGCTTTGGTGTTGGCCCAAATGCAGCCTCCTTGGGGTGTGCTGAATTACGATGCTTAGAAAAGGGCTGCACAGGAAAGAGGACCCAGATCTGGAAAGGACCTAATTCTCAAGCTCACTGGCTAAGATTAATCTTGAGAAACCAGCTGCATCCCCAGGGAAGGGAAATGCTGACTTTTCTTAAAAGAAAGAAAACAATTTGGATTCCAGTAAGGGTGAAAGGGCAGCCTCTTGTTTCTCTGCCAGTGTTAGGCCTTGCAATCATATTTATATTGCAGAAAGGGAGGTCCTGACTAAGAAAAGACACAAAAATCACTCTCCTCTGTCAGCTGCAAAGACAAAGATCCCTGACACATATAAGTAAGTAAGAAAACACCTTATGAATTCTTCTCAGAGGAGCCACTTTTTGAAGGATGTTGCCTGCCAGAGAAATGCTCCTGTGCTTTATCTTGGTATATTACAAGCCAGGGTAGGTGACCTTTCCTGGCAGCGTCGGTAGCTGCTGCTGGTGCCCTTGTGATGTGCCGGCGCCCATTGGGCCTTGGGGTTGGTGCCCGACAGTTTTGGGGTTGGTGCCCGACAGATTTGGGCTGGTCTGGCCTTCCTGCCTGCTGACCACCTCCCACGTCTCAGCGTCCCTTGCTCTGTCCCTGCAGGGAAGCGCTCCATCGGCGTGACGGCGCTGCCGTCGGCGGGGAACATCGGCCGGCGCGGGCTCCTGGGCTGCACGTTCCAGCCCGGCGTCCGGCTGGGCAGTGTGGCCATCCGGTGGGCCAAGCTGGGCCACGCCGGGCTGGTTCACGAGTTCAGAGGCGGGAAGGACGAGCTGCGGGAGCAGGAGGCGTCGTTCCGGGGCCGCACGGCGGTGTTTGCAGAGCAGGTGATGGGGGGCAACGCGTCGCTGGAGCTGCGGGACGTGCGGCTCTCCGACGCGGGCACCTACCTGTGCTCCGTCACCACGGCCCGGGGCAGCGGGGCCGCACGCCTGCTCTACAGGACAGGAGGTGAGGGGCAGGGGAAGGGCAGGGGTTTTCCAGAGGCTTCTGTGGCCTTACCTGCTCTTTCCTGTTACAGAAAAGATGGTTGTTGTAACGCCTGCAGTTGTCTTTTTCTCCTTCTGTTTACCTCATGCAGGCTGTCAGCTACTCAGCTGACCACAAAGATCCTCTAAGAGCAGGAGAAGCTAATTGATCTTATAAAGGTGCAGATTTTATAGCTGTTAAAGGTAGCTGCTAAAATGGTAGCTTTTTCTCTGCAGATGGTGACTTTTCTCCAGTCAGAAGTGATGCATAGTAAAAATTACAGCCTATTTAATATATATTTTTTAAACCTTTCCTAATGTATTCAGTTTTTAAAAAATCATAGAATCGCAGAATGGTTTGGATTGGAAGGGACTCTAAAGACCTACTAGATCCAACACCCCTGCATGGGCACTGACACGTCCCACTGGACAGGTTGCTCAGAGCCTGCTCTTCTCCAGACTGAACAATCCCAGCTCTCTCAGCCTGTCCTCACAGGAGAGGTGCTCCAGCCCTGGGATCATCTTTGTGGCCCTCCTCTGGACTTGCTCCAGGAGCTCCATGTCCTTCTTATGTTGGGGGCTCCAGATGACTTTCAGAACAACAAACCACCTAAATCGCAGTTATCTGAACTATTACATATTTGCTGGAGTTAATTGTTCACCTTGTGACTTTGTTCACTTGTGACTTTGTCTCCTGCCTCTCCTGGAAACCTTGTGAATCTGCCTGCTTTGTGTTGCTTGATTTGATGCTAAAAGTAATCTTTGTGAAATGCTGCATTAGATATTATTTCAATTTAAATTGGTGAACCCTGCTCCTAAAAAGCTCTAGTTTCTCATTATATCTGTACAAGTGGGAAATATGATGAATATAGAGACCAAAGCTAACAAAGGTTTATTTGAGGTGGTCTTGGCTTTAAAACACAGCTGAGTTTGCAACAGGCATTAAACATTTGGTTTAATCCAGGGATGTTGGCATAACTCTTGCAGCTAAGATCGCATCTTAGTCTGCTCTCAACCACAGCAGCTACAGATAGAGCTTCCCTTGGCTGGAGCCCCATTTAGCATGAAAGCCACATCTCGGGGCAGGAGATATTGGTCAGGCTCCCTTCTCAGTCAGGGTAGAGGATGAGTCATCTTCCCCTCCCCAGCCCTTCTGATAAGAGCAATCTTTTTTGGCATGCTTCTCCCTGCCAAGAGTAGCAGGTCCCTCCTTTCAGCCACCTGTCTTCAGCAGAGGTGAGCAGAGCCATGCTGGCTGCTGCTCCTGCCCGGGGAATCCAGGCATTTTGCAGAGACACATAAAGTCTCAGGCTGGCCAGGTCCTGAGCCCAGTCTTCTCTGGGAATAAGGGTATCCAGAAGCTCTTGAGAAATGCTTGATTTATGAGCCCAGGACCCAGCCTGTGACTCTTAAGCAGAATTAGTTAGATGCTAAAGATGTGCCAGGACCTCAGCAGATGTCATCAAACTGGACTGCCTTGTCCTAGGAGTCTTTAGATCCCCTGTAGCCACCCCTGTACAGCTCAAGCTGCACAGACCTCTGTCTGAGCCTCCGTGTTTCCTTGCAGCGCTGCAATGCCAAGCAGCAAGTACCCTAGAAATACCTGGAAATGACCAGCAGATGCAGTTGGGTGTTTCATGCCCAGTTCTCAGAGACTTGTCTTTTTCTGACTCTCTTCCTTTTTTCCCTCCCAAAGCCTTCAGCAGCCCCGAGGTGCATGTGGAGAACAGCAGCAGTGGGGAGACTGTGCTGCAGTGTGAAGCGCCGCGCTGGTTCCCTCGCCCCACTGTGCGCTGGACCACCTGCAGTGACACTGGAGAGGACCTGCCTCACGTTGCCCACACCAGCTTCCAGCTGAATGCTGACAACATCACTCTGAAAGTCGTTTCCTTTCTGCACAACATTACTGTCAATGCCACCTACACCTGCGTGATTGAAAACAACATTGCCAAGGCTACAGGCAGCATCCAAGTGACAGGTAGAGTTTAACACCACCCAGAGACCACAAGGGAGAAGGGTTGTAACAGGGCACGTGTGGGTGGGCTCCTGCAGCACCTCTGTCCATCAAGGAAGGGACTCAAATCCGTGGCTGATCTAAGCTTCTCTTTCTGTCCCTGGGATGAGGGAAAGGGTCTGTGTTTAGTCCTGGTGTGTCAGATGTTTTTCACAGTAACAACTGCTCCCCTGGCTCAGGGACAGAACTGCCAGTGAAATGGGAAGGAAGGAAATGTTTCAAAATAATATATTCCTTCAAATGTTAACTAAAATGAAACCAACCAATCAAACCCCCCAATTTTTGACACTTTTAGCCAGTTCAGCTTAGATCCCTTTTGTTTTCCAAAGCAGCGAGCCCCTTTAGCAGTTACTAATGTCAATGTCTTGGACTCCAGGCCATTGTCTTTATTTAAAAGGCCACCTTGTTCTGTATGAGAAAGGTCATAGCTCTTCTACAGCAAGGGCTTCACAGCAGTGGCTCTCCAGCACAAGAGGCAGGGTCTATCAATATTCAGAAAATTTGTTCTACCTTCCCTGCTGTGTTCCCCATTCTGGTAGCTTCTCGTTATTCTTCTGCTACAGATTTCAACATTACAAGGGAGACCAACTTGCAGCTGGTGAACCTGAATGCAGAGTCTGTGTCCTCCTCCCTTTCACCCTGTCACTGGATTCTTCTGCTTCCTCTGTATCTGCTGTCAATATAAAGCCTCTAAAAAACAACCAGAAACACTGCTGGACCTGGAGGTAAGCTTGGAAAGGAAACTCATGTGCACATATGTTCATTATATGTAGGCCTTCTTGCTGAGTTTTGTTACAGCAGTGAACTTATCACAAGCCTGCCAGAATGGGAGAGCATCTTTGCCCTTTTCCCATCCCCAGCTTTAGGTGGGACTAGTGGCTTGTCCTTCCCACAGGCTCTCTTGGCTTCTCCCCTCACCTTCTGCAACTTCAGAGATTCATCTCTTGCATCATTCACTGTCACCTCATAACTTATCCCTGCATTGTATTTTCCTTCCCTCCTTAACCTGAAAGATAGATGTCTTGCTTGCTGCTCTGCACACTTGCTGAACCTTGGCTACAGTCCATGGATGCAAGGCAACATGGCCTTTTTCCTCTCCCTCCCACAAGGCCTGCTGCACTACCAACCTTGCTTTCCTCAGACAACTCCACTGCACCTTCAGTAAATAGTACTTAGCAGGGATAACTGGAAGAGGGATAGAGGGAGATTCTGGCCTGAGCAACCCCATCTAGACCTGGAATAAGGGCTGTAGACAGTCAGAGCACAGGACAACTGCCTTTAGTATTCACCAGCTTCAGCTTTTTAGTGGTAGGCTCTTGAGGTAAACTGGTGATGAAGTGGGGAGCTACAGAAAAACAGCTAAGAGGAGCATCTCTTGTCTTTCCATGCAGAACAGTCACACAGCTACACTGATAGCAAGACACAATTTAAGCTTTCCTCCCTCTCGGGCTGAGAACTTCAAGAGCTTCTCCCAGTTCCAGAGCACGCAGTAGCACAAACATGAAGCCAGCTGATTAATCTCTTCCCCTACAGGATGCTTTCTTTGGCTTCAGAAAGGAACATGATAAGGAGAGTTGCATAAATAAAGGAAAAAATCTGATTGCAGGAACAAGATGTGTTCTTTTGTCTGAAGTAACCCAGTGACCAGAACTGCAGTTGTGGGCAGAAGCTCAAACAAGAAAAGGGTTTCCTGCAATACATATGAGAACTGGTCCTTCACACTCAGAGTACCAAAAGTAAGGACATCTTAATCCCCCCCCAAATAGGTTTGATTTGTACATCTTGTGTCTTGTGATTCTCTTAATGTGCTAACAAAACTGTAAATAAGAGAGCCAATTAATCTATTCAGTCTTTTCGGAAGACTATAATCAAATTCTCCTTCTGGAAAACATGTCGTGAATGGCAAAACATGGATGGATTAGAAAAAAGCTAAGGAGCTTGTCATAAGTGTTCAGTCTTCAGCCTGCCAAAGGCAGTGTCTCTGCAGTCCTATACGAGGACTGATGCCTGCATTTCCCATGTGAAATAAAAGAGGAGCAGGTGAGTAGTAAGCAAAGACTAGCAAATGTGATGAAGAAAAGAGGGAGACTAGTAACATACTACTGGAATCTTCAAATTCAGAAGTAAACACAGTTACTATACATAGATATAGCTAAAGAGACAAATTTGCCATTTTTGTTTTTAGTAAGTCTCTCACCTGGCACTTTCATTTCTGTAGCACTGTGTTACTATGTGACATATCACAGCACTACTTTCAGTTGCACTTTTTAATCAGACTTTGATCTCTTCATCTTGCATCACTTACAGTCAACATTTTCTTCAGGCTGAGACAGTTTATTCGGGGTTTTGTTTGTTTTCTTTGGAGAGGGTAGGGGATAAGCTTCAGCAAAACACGACCATGCAGGTCTCACTCGAAGTTTCATAGGACCCTTCTGGTATTAATTTATGTGCATAAATCATTTGAATTACAGCAGCCTTTTGTATGTTGGCCATAAAATTGGAGTTGTCCCCATCCAGAGTCAATGGCTCTCCTCTGGCAAGGGGATTACTTGTGCCAACAGAAAAAGCTGCACACCGAGTTAGGCTCCAGGGATGCTAACTATCATCAGTCGTTAAAATAATTCCGGGTCCCCAGTAATCGTCAGCTTCTTCCTCACTTAACATAATATGGTCTCCTCCTGTGAGGGACACTCTCATTACATATTCAACTTCACTCTCAGATGGAAGCCTGCTGTATTGTTTTCTAATATTTGCCAATTCCATTGGAGTGCAAGGTATTTCTTTAGTTACTACCTTTTTTTTCCTTGCACCTTTCCTTGCACCACCTGCAGGAAAAAAAAGTTTTACAGCAAAACTTGTGCAGACCTTTGCTTGAAGCTGTTTTGGCAACTTCTTTTAGGATGGAGTGTCAGGATGTTATTGAATGGTGGCAGCTGTCAGGTCTTTTGCCATTGATGCTTTGGACTTAAAAGGGGCCAGCAGGCCTTGAGAGGGAAGAAGATACTTTACATGTGTACAGCATTCATAAAGCCACTGCCTGAAGCTGAATAAACTCAAGTGAAGGGGAAAGGGCAGGGGGGAAGCACTGAAAAAAAACCCCAAACAGAGTTAGCTGTTCAAATTTGCTGCCAGCATTACACCCCAAAAAAGGCATGGAATAGTCGTGCATGGAATTCACTAGGCTACAGAACAAGATGAAGGATGTGGACGCTGTTTTGCCAAACACAAATGCAGAACAATCCACCATCACTGCAAGCAGATGGGAGAGGAATCTCTTCAAATGGCCATCACCCACCTGTTTTATCAGCTAGCCTGGCTTACCACCATGGATACTGGCATGTACTGGTGCAGTCCCCCCTCTTGCTAATCAGGAAGCGATCAGCCAGCCTGGAGCATGCTGTGAAGTTGTATCCCTCTGGTTATGAGGCCCACAAAATATTCAGGCTGCTAGTTAAGCTGCCAAACAATGCCTGTATAATCCTGTGATTTAGTACAGTGATTTAATCTCCAAACAGTAACTTATTAACTCTCCTTCTCTTCTTGGAGGAAGGAAATGCTTTAAACATATAATTTTAATTATTTCAATTGGGTTAATAAGACTTCTCCCTGTGGCAACTGTACACTTTCACATAAGTGATCTGCAAAATGCCTGGCTCTGGCTCCTAAACCAAGGATCTGCATTCTTCCTCACTCCCCAAACAGCAAGTGAACTCTAAATTAAACACCACCTATTTTAGCATTGAACTGTTATTTCAGGAGCTTTATTTAGTAGATACTACCACATAAAATACACACACTGTGTGCCCTAGACCCAAAGCAATGGCTATTATGGAGGAAGTATCAAACATCTCTTCCAAAACATAGCCCAGTATTGCTGGAGACAATGGTTCAGAATGACCATTCAAAGAATTTCGGAAGGCAGAGCAGCTTCTTGATTGCACCCTTCGTGCTGTGCTCACATGTCTGTGCTCCCACTGGAAAGGAGGTTTAAGAAAAGCTCCCACTTCCAGTAGGTATATCTGTGATTCCTCTCCCACTGGGAGAGATGTTAAGCAGTGGTTCCCACTCAGCAGTGACTTGATGTCCTCATAATCCTCCTGCTGTTCAGATGGCTTAAGGTGTCTTGTTCCACTTCCTGCACATTCAGGCACAGTAGGTTCGGCCGAGGTTCCACTTGTGACACAAACTCCACTTCACCACACCGAAAATTTCTCAGCTGCAGTGGAGCTGAAGGGAAGAGATAAACTTGTCACAACTCCATTCAGGGCTTCTGCTCTGCTCTAGCACACAGCTGTAGAAGTTGCTGGGGGAGGGAAGGCCTTGCAGCAGCTGCTTGGCAACTGCTAAACCTCAAAGGACAGCATGATTAATGAATACAGGATGTAAGCATATCTGGGATGGAAGGGCAAAAGGGGGATGCTAATAAAATGTGTTCTCTCCCACCACCACTAACACAAACATACACACGTAAAATCCCCACCTCCTCCCTTACTGATACCTCAGAACAATCACTATCCTGGTTGTTTAGTGGATATATTTTCCTGGAACTGTATCTATACATTTGAACAGAAAAGCTTCAAGTTTTTCAACTACAGTTTAATACTCTTTTTATGCTTCTGTGCAAAGTAAAAAAAGTAATGTATATTGTTGGGTGTTATATAATAGCATTGTCTTGTTGTAGATAGTTACTTTTATAATGTTATTTCTGTATTTTTGTGACCATGGTTCTGCTAAGACTTATCATATCTTAGCTCTATACTACAGAATTCACAATTCCATGGGAATCCTCCAAAGATCTTGCTTTGTGGGCAGTGAAGACAACTCTCCTTCCCTAGCCTGGTGAGACAACTCCTCCCTTCCTTCCCACACTAAATATTACAAAGGCCAACGGTGCTTGCTCACCAGTCTGTGGGATCTTGGAGGCTTTCCTGTCTAGGCTGAAATCCAGCAGGATAGGGCGACAGATAAGAGGACTCCTGCACAGGCTCCTTAGGTAGCAAGCAATGAGATCCTCAGGTTCCTCTACACACTGAGGAAGGAAAGGGTGTGTTGCCAGTGAATTGTAGAGGGAGGCAAGGAGCCACTGGAACACCCACAGCCCAGCACACTGCAATCCCTACCAGAATAATGCACTCACCCCTGTGCCAGTAGCTTCTCCATGTTGGATGGACACTATGCCCCTGCTCTGCACACAGTTCTGCAGAGCTTCCCACTCAAGAAGGCTCAGGCTCAGCATTGCTGCCACATGCTGGTTCCTGCACAGCACCAAAGCTTCACCTGTTCCATCCTCCACCAGCACCCTATGGAGACAGGAGGCACAGATGTGGAGGGAGGTCAAGACAACCCCTAGCTCCCTCACAGAGGTCACATCCCAGACAATGGATGCCAGTAAAGAGGGAGGTTTGTTCACACCTGGGAAGACACAACAACTCTTACCTTTGCTACTCTATCCACACCCCATCCTTGATCGGACTTTCCCCTCCCCTCTGTGGTGTTACTTGTTCTCTCCTCCCCACCTCTTTCCACACCCTATCTCTACGGTGCTTACCGTGCACTGGCTTGCCTCACTCCTATGTGTGATGGACATGGTGGACTCCTTCGGGTGCACCTCCCCTAAAGGAAGAGTAAAGCTACAGCTATGTACGCATGGGTATAGGAGAGAGAGAAGGGGATAAGCAGCTGCTTCTTTTTAACCCTCCCCTAATTGGGTATGAAAAAAAAATTAAACGACTTCCCCGTGTTTCCAATGAGTGTCTTGGGAAGAGTTTGTATTGGGAGAAAAGTCACCTGCTGTATGGTGCTGAACCCCCAAAAGCAGTGAACGTGGGAAAAGCAGAGCATTGAAAGAGCAGGATTCTCCCCATCAATGTCCTCATTTCACCCCCACCCCTAGTTGCCCACCTGCCTGGTCTCAGATACATCTAATCAGTTGCATATTAGAAATGGACCAAAGTGACAAGTCCTTCTCAGACAAGGGAAAAAGATTTTGGAATTGGGATAGGAGATCTTATTTCTTCTACATTGTAGCAAAGGATGTGTTGGAGTAGAAAATCTGCAAAGCTTCTCACAAATTATCTCCATGGAAGTTTAAATACCTCTTTGAAGATGCTGTTGCAAAGTGAGCAAACCCATTGCAGGGACAGAGTCAGTACACAGGACAAGTGGCATAAAATCCGTGCCTGGGGTAGGTTTTGCAGGTGAGGATGCAAGCTGGATAGAAACACTAGTGAGGGGGATGAGGCTTCTCCTGCAAGACTAGAAGACACAGGAATATGAGAGGCTTGACTCTTCTTGGGACACCATAAGGTGGGAACAGACTCTGGACTAACCTGGAAGGAAAAGATAGGTGAGACGCTGGCAGAGATATGACGTTCAAACAGCTGGAGGCAATGTATGTACAATAAACATTATGGAATCTGCAATATGAAAAAACAGATGTCAGAAAGAGCGTGTAGAAACCAAACCTCTCAGTTGTCTTGAGATGGCTGGGCTGACCTTCATCTCCAACACAATAGGAAAGTCATTTGTTGTAAGGGATTGGGAGACACAAAGGTATGGACAAGGGATGAGGTTAAGTCCACAAGAGAGATAAGGAGATGGTTTTGAAGACAGTAAGAGAGGTCAGAGCTGTGGTCTCAATCAGAGCTCTTAAGACAGGGGTACCTTGAGATTCTGCGTTCCAAGTTCTGGAAGAGGATCTTGGCTCCAGGCAGCAACCCCCAGAGATGCTGCAGGTAAGTGGCAGCTATATAGACATCCAGCACAACAGGGGAGCCTGGAGCAACCGAGACGCTGAGCTTCACGCTGTGTTCCCTGGCTAGCAGACTCCCTGAGGAGGCACAGAACCACACACACCATAAGCTCACTCACACGCAGGTAGCACAGCCTGTCACTGCTCTGGACCTGCTAGAGGTGTTTTTCCTCCCATCACAATGAGGCTATTGCTGTTTCACCTCACAGATTTTCCAGATACGGCACTCCCATTCCCATCCCCAACACATGCAGTGTAGTTTCCCAGCCCTCTGACATGTAGTGGGATGCAACATCCTGGCATACTTCCACTATTCTCAGACACAGGAGCACAGATCAGCCAAGTGCACTACCTCTATGAAGCAGAAAGAAGCAAGAATCAATCTGTTGTTACCTGAGAGGCTGTCCAGTCTTACCTTTCTGCTTTCGAAGGTCAGCATTTGCAGATAGCTTCTCATTCTTGGGAGAGGCACACAAGGTCCTCTCCACTATGTCACCAGAGAAAGAAACAAGGGAACCTGTGAAACTGAGAGCAGACCAGGTTTTCTGTCCTGCCTGAAGACAAAGGGAGATGAAGAAGGTCTGACTTCAAGATTGCCACAAAGGACAGAATGGAACGCTGTTGCTTGAGCTCAGTTTCAGGGGAACCTGCCCTTGAGCACCTGAGCTACTAGACTGAAGGCATCTTGCTGCAGTGTATCCCCCTCCCAGGGAAAAGAGGCTCCTTTAACTTAATTTCTGCTTTTTCAAGCTCAGCAGTGAAGAAGAAAAAGGGAGAGACATTATAGCCTTCCTATCTGTTTAACTTCCAATTGTTTTTCTTACCTAGAGGAAGACACCAAGAAAATAAAAACTCAGTTTACCATAAGGCACTGGTGAATATTTTGGTGTGCATGGATATCACCCCAGATTAAACGTGGTTTGAACAGAAAAGCTTCTAACCCTAGTATTTGTTTGAACAAGTTATGCTAAGACTATCAAAAAAGAACAAGAAACCATCACACATTCAGCCTTATTTTCCCTGCTGTGCCAGTTTCCACTTCCGACAGGAATTTAGCAGAGACCTTTGGACCTAGTCCACACCAGTAGTAGCTCAAAGTTTTTTCTGAACACCATTTTGCAGTCTTGTCACTTGAAAGCCTTTTAGCTTTGATAAACAGGATGGGGGGCAGCCTGGATTACTTGCACATAGGAAGATTTCCAAACCATATTCCTAAGGTGGATAATTCATCAGTTTAATGAAGTACTGTCTCACCCATTCCCCAAGACACAGTCACATCTAATTTAGGGCAGACCAACATACCTGTTGCTAAGTACTTCTGGAATGGAGGAAATTCTCTGGTCCATGCCTGTCAACACTGCCCTGGCTGCCAGCTAGAAGTGGGGGAGACACTGCAGTTTATAGCTGTCCTCAGCCAGAGAAGAAAATAGAAGCTCTGCTCTGCTTAGAGCTATGTCAAGCAACAGATGCTTCCTCCTATTAATTCTGAGGCAGGAAAATGTGAAGCCCTGCAGCAGTCTTTGATGGAGCTTAGAGCAGAATGGTCTCATCAACAAGACAATCTGTATGAATAATTTTTTGAGCTAATTCTGGAGAGATATAAAAGTCACCTGTGAAAGTCCAGAGCAATAAAGAACTTGCATACCTGGTGCTCAGGCAGGCAGGAGATCCATGTCTCATGCTTTAAGTGCCAGGTATCTTGGACCGGCAGGCACAAGGGGCAGGATGACCTGCTCAACAATTTTACTGGCACAGGTGGTAACGAGAGCTTGTCAAACACTTCCAAGTCCTGAGAAAAGAGTTAATAAGGCAAGAAAGAAGACTATTATATGAAGAAGAAGAAAGCTATATAGGAAAAAAGGGCCACTGAAAAACAATGTTTTAGAGAGAAAAAAAAATATAAAATAATCCACTCAGCTCAGAGCTGAGAATTTTAACCAAACACAGAACTGGAGAGTTTCTTGACAAGATGGATGGGAATTCCAAACTTTGAAAAGAGCTTAGTCACCCTCTGACTCCTCAACTCCCACATGCAGTTCAACAAAAGTCTCCACGAGGAAGAGCAAGACACACTTTCTCTTACCGAGCAGTGGGGCACAATGAAGTGATACAGTCCATCCAGATGTAGAAATGGAAACCATCGTAGAGACTTCCCCATAAAGAGCAGCAGTGCCTGGCAGGGGAGGGGGAGAGAGAAAAAAAAGAAGTGATGAGAAGTGCTAGGAAAGAATTAGGAAATTAAAAATCCAGCACAAGGAGAGCAAGCCCAACAGAGGATATCTTGATTGAGAAGTAAGGTTAGCACCACCAAGGATATGAGAAGGCAGTGGATGCATTTACAGGAAGATGCCAGGGAGGAGATGGAACTCGCTTGGGGTGCTCCAAGGAAGTTGCCTGTGTCAACATACATCTATACCAAACACAAAAATAACTTTCTCATTGATCAAGAATATAAATACTTCATTGTCACACAGGCTCCTGGAGAAGCCAGCCAGCAGCCTTCTCTAACCACACCCCAAAGCTGCCTCCTGCCTCACTTCTTGCTGTGCCACGCCCTCTTCTCCATCACAGCTCGTCTTCTCCAGCTTTGATAGATTCCTCACTTCTCTGGGGTGGCTCCAGAGCTGAGGTCTGCTCAGCCATAGCACAGTGGCTTGGAAACTGTGCTGCAGCTCCCATCCTTTTCCATCTTCTTCTCTGAGTAGACCATAATTGCGTAACATAAGACCCTCCTTCTGGGTAACCAAGAATAGGCGAGATACACAGCTGGCTCTTCTAGTGTTGTTCTGGGACTCCTGACAGTTCTCATCTCTGTGAGTATCTGGCTCAGGATCCTCCAGTTTCAGCATTTTTGCCTCTTGGGTTTCCAGCTCAGATGTTAAGCTGCCACCATCCTTCTTCCTCCCAGAGGAGCTGTTTCCACCCTCAACATTTTCCTGGATTTGTCCTTCAGCAGCATGGAGAACCTGAACATCCTCTAAGTAGAACTGCACATAGACACTGAAACAACAAAGGGTAGCAGTGAAACACCCTGTTGCTGATGGTGGCTGTCTGAAACAAGCAGTTATCTGAGAAAAGCACTTCCAGCAAGTTCCCCACAGGTATTTAGCAGGAGCAGCAGGGAAGGGGGAAGTGGAAGACAGCTAGCAGGTTGAGTATATTGTGAACAAAATGGAGATGGTGGGCTTGCTGCCAATGAAGTTCTTCTTTTTTGCAAATATCAAAGGACAGTTGCTTTGGCAGTGAAACATTATGTGATAAGCAGCTTTACCACAGTCCAAAACAGTTGTGGAAGTGGAGAGTGCAGATATTTTACTAGTGCAGTGAATAAAGGGACTTACCTGTGTTTTTTCTCCCTCACATGCTCCAGATTTGGCAAGTGCTCCCAGGAGGGAAAATCAGTCTGAAGGAATCTCTCCACTATAAGCTGGTAGTTTTCCACCTGCAAGAGCGATCCTGCAAGCACATCAGAGAAAGGAGCTGAGCTAACAAAAATTGAACATAAACCCAGTAAGCTCCATTTCCTCATTTTAAAGTCACAAGGCCAGGCAGTGTCAGTTCAGCATCTCCATACCAAGCCTCCTCTTCCTTATTTTTGAGCTGAATGGCAGAAAAACAAAAGCTCAGCAATCTCAAATTTAGCTTAGCAAGACATACCTATGAAAGCTGTATGGGCAAAGGGGCTACCATCCTTTTGGGATATCACACAGGGAAGTGTGCTACTCTTGTCCTGCAGCTGGAGGGAACTGCTCCTGGAGGAGACTCTCAGCACACCCAGTAGTACCTGCAACAGAGAGGAAGCTGCAAACAGCATCAAACCCTTCTCATCTTAAAAAACTATAAATCCTAGTGTGTGTAGCAGCAGCCCAAATGCAGCCCGTGCTCAGCACACCACAGGTGAAAACATCAGTTATTCCCTAACAGGAGGGACAGGTGTGCATCAGACACGGTGTTGGATGGCAGGGAGAACTGGGAATTCTCAAGGCACAAACAGTGAAGGAAACAAGGCACTTACTAGGCGGGGCTGGAAACTTCCTGCT